ATCCGTGACGATCACTGAGATGAGATCTACACAAATCTTAGCAAAACTTAGTTAAATTTGTGAAAGGTAGAGAAAATGGGGTCGCACGAATTATGGGCCTAAGAATGGCACAAATCTATATATCTGATCTTTTCTTAGGTCCACTGGTATTACCACCTTCTAGATCCATGTATTTTACATTAAAGATTCTTTTAAAAATTTACAAATTAAGAAATAATGGGAAAATATAGAAAATAAACTAAACTAGATAGGAAAATTAACTAAGATTGAATATGGAACGGGTGCTTACCTCTGGGAATGCAAAACACAGAGTTTCGGGCTTGGATCACGCTGCTCTTATGATTTGGGCGACCATCTCCTTTTGGATGCCTATACTTGTTGGAGATAGAAAATCTAAGGTTCTTTGACCTAGATTTGGGGTTTCTTAAAGCAGGGGAAAAACTAGAGATTTTTTGGTAGGGTCTTCCTAAGCTTTTCTAAGGGTTTAGGAGGGATTTTACTTAGTTTTTTAAGGATTTTGGGGTTTCTAAGGTTAAATCCAAATTTTAGGATTTATTGTGATTTTTGGGTACTTTTTTGGGATTTTCATAATTTTTTTAGGAATTTTCTAAGGGTTTTCCTATTTTCGAATTTTTTGGGGTTTTTTTTCCCTAATTTGGAGAATTTCTAAGGGATTTCTTATCTCCTTTTTTGGGTTATGGAGGGAGGTATTTATAGGATTCAATTTGTGATTTTTATTGCTTTTTTGGATATTTTTTTCAGATTTATCTTGAATTTTTGCCTTTATCTCATTAAAAGACATACTTTTACCGTACTATCGGGCCAATCTGGGCCCGTCCCGGGCTTTGGTACCCCACGAGACACGCCGCGCATCGAGCGGGCCTACCCGACAATTCCCGGTCGGGCTGGTTAACATGGGCCCATTAAACAGAGATTGAAGTGTCATTTTTTTTTTTAAACCGTAGGTCCGATTTGGATGATTCTTGGACTGTTAGAAAGCTCTTGGGGTCTACTTCAATTTGGGATAGTTTTGTTTGGAACAGTTATATTGGGTCTAGGTTACCTATGATCTACTAGGATTTTTATGGTCCTTCGAGCTTAGAATTGAGGATTCTAGGAGTTCCCTTAGCCAAAATTTCAAGGGTGTCTGCAATCCCTAAGCTTCTCATTAAAAATTCATCTTAAAATCCTTGGAAAACCTTAGGATTTAGAGAGACTAGAAAATCCTAGAAAATTCTAAGGAGAATCTCTAAAAATCCCTTAGAGTAACCTAAACCCTAGCGACCTTAGAATAAACCCTACATCTAGGAAATCCCAATGCTAGGTGAAACCCTATTCATATTCTCTACAATTTCAAAACTCTAATTCCAAAAGCCTTTAAAAATCTTCAAAATCCCTAGGATAAACATGCCTTGGGCATTCTTTAAGAAAAGAGAAGAAGATCAGTGTAAACAACTCGCATTCTAATATAGGCACCAACTCCAATTATTCAGGTGTATTGGCCAAGTAGCCCAAGTAAGTTTGTCTCAGTTTTGTTTTAGTTTTTTTTAATAGGTAAGTCTCTTTTTTTTTTTTTAAGTTTAATTTTAGTTTAACTTTACTTTCTGAATTTATTATTGATTTTGTATGATTTCAAGCTAGCTTTGCAGGCAGTTCTTAGAGAGCATTGATATTTCGAGATTTGAATCTTTCTTTGAACCGAACTTGACGGGCCCTAGGATTCTCCATCAAATATAATTTTTAACAGTTTAAAGCATAAATTTGGGCAGGTTTCTTTGAGATCCATTAAGATTTGAATTATGACCACATAGTAGACTAAAACCACAATCTACAAATATGTCGGAAATCCTAAAAAATTTATAAAGACTTAATTTAGGAACCCAACACCGCAAAATAGGTAGATTTCAAACCAAAAAGGGAGAAAATATTTACTGTATGTCAAAAAAAAGGCAAAATCCATCAGAACAACCATAGAAAAGTGAAAATTATTGAGATTTCAACATCACCTAGACCCAAATATACTCAACGACGCATACAGTGTCGCTGATCATCTGATGATTCAAATTAAAAGGCCGAGGAGAACGACGCCTCACCATCTAAGTCTAATTCGGACCCCAAATCTGGGTGTGGGACCTGTGAACCGGGCTGCCAAGTAAGTCTTATTTTCATTCATCTCTTTAATGCCTTAAGTTTGTTTTCTTTTCAAAATCTTTTGAAAAAGGAAAAGTATACAAAACGACGGTTTATTTTTAGCTCAAGGAGGTCACTTATTAGATGTGAAATCACACGATTAAGGATATGTGATTGATTAGGCATAAATCTCAAAATAAAAATTCTCGAACATTGTGATACACCAAACTATCCTAGTATCTACTCTTGATAGACATAGTTTTAACTATAGGAGTGATTTTAAGACCCTAAATTTTTGGATGTTAAATTGAACCCTCTATGTGCCAGAAAAAGATAATGTCTCAATATTGAACTGAGACGTTCAATTTTTGAAAGGCGAGACCTTGGAATAAAAAAAATCTCAAAAATCAAAATTTTTCCTTTCGAAAATAATCATCTAGTTATCATAAGTGGTTCCCAAAATTTCAGACTTAAAAAAACTTCTAAGTTGGCATTTTTTGACTAAGGGAGTAGATGTATAATACATGCTCCTACGGGATTATCATACCCACCAATGTTAAAAAAATCGACTTGACCAAAGTGCACATGACCTGGCCGAGGCGATTTATTCGGGCGAGTCTAAGTAACTTGCCCGAGTTCAGCTCATTTCTTCTTAAACAAAGTGAAGAAAAATAATGGTTATATATACTATAATGCCTCTTTTATCAATAAAGTAAGGAACAATGTGTTGGTTAGTGTGCCTTATGTAAGGGTGCGGTTTTATAGAGCCTAGGCTCTAAACGATCAAATTAGAGCCTACCTTCAAATAGTGTCAATAAATGTGTTTTCAAATTAGAGCCTTCCTTCAAATAGTGTCAATAAATGTGTTTTCAATGCTATACATCTTTGTGATAGCCTTAAAATATATTTTCATTTTTATTTATAAAGTTTAAAGCTTAAAAAATAGTATAGATCGAGCATATCTATGAAAACTTGAAAATCTTGAAAATTGACGGTCCAAAATATATTACAAAATACACTATTTCCTAAACTTGAAATCTTTTTTTTTTATCATGTCCATACATCTTGATGTCGAGATGATTAATTTGAGGATATCTGGGCATCAAAACAACATTTTCTAATAAAATTTTCGAGGTAGGCTCTTATTTGATTGTTTAGAGCCTCGGCTCTATATAAACTTTTCCCTTATGTGAAACGACCTCTTTATGACAGGTTTCAAGCTCAACTCCTCATATTTTTTTTATAACAAACGTTAAATGTGACGGGCGGGATTCTTGGTGTTCAAAAAATTGTGGATTTTGAACACGTGATGGGCTAGAGTATAATCGTTAGAGAGAACCAGTTAACATTTCTAACATAACTTATTTGAATTTGTAGCAATATTATATTTAAAGTTTAAAAATATTATGTACAACTAACTCTCTTAAAACTTGCCTTGCCCATGGGCCGAATCCGAGTTGCCTCGGCCGAGTTTTAGAATGTTGGTACCCACACTTATTTTTTGAATTACATATCCAAGATACTGGTTGGAATGGGGACTTGTGATAAAGGGGATCAAATGCGGCCAAATAGGTTTCCAAACCTCAGATCCCAGAAATCTCAGTTGTGATTGAGAGTGACAAGGATCAAAACTGGGGATTAGCATCGTCATTGTCGAGTTGGATGGTGAAAGAGAGAGTGACACACTTAGTCAATAGCAATGGGGATTAGCATAATCATTGGCGGCATAAGAAAGGGGTTGAGATCGGATGGTAGCATCTCCACACTTAGTCACCACATTGTGATTTTCATTCCAACTACTAACACTACCCCACTAACACATTAAAAAATTTAGCTACTAATATATTTAAAAAACGGATAGAGGTCTATCTTCCCAACTGAATTACCCAAAAAAAATAAAAAGACAGAACCGCACCCACCAAATAGAACCTTGATCCAGGTGATGTGCCAAGTTCTCTTCATGCCCATCCATCCATCGTATCCCTAAAAGGATGAAGAGAGAGAGTTGGACCCACAGTTGTAAAATTCGCTTCGTAGCCCTTTTTTTTGGTTTGGTGATTCAAAAGAAGACTTCGGAATTTTTTTGCAAAATGTAATATAAATAAAGTATATATTTATATATAATAATAATAAAATTAAAAAATAAATAAAAAATACTAAAAAAAGATGATTTTGTGCCTTGGTCAAAGCTTTGGCCGAAGATTCTGAATTAGACCGAAGCACATAGTTGCATTTAAAAAAGATAATTATGTGCTTAAGCCGTAGAGGGTCGAAACTTTGGCTGAAGAGGCTGAATCAGACCGAAGCGGGCCGAAGCAAGTCAAATCTGGTGCACCTGAGCTTTGCTTCGCTTCGGTTTAGGCTGAAAATCTAAAGACTTCGACTTCAGTACAGCAAATTTGATAACATTGGGACCCACAAGAGAATACCCTTATTTTGGGGTAGGAATCGAACTTGAGATGTAGTATTACTAATGTGACATGCCGATGAAGCCCAAGCCCGAGCAGGAGCCCGAGCCCGAGCCCGAGCCCGAGCCCGAGCCCGAGCCGGAGCCCGAGCCGGAGCCCGAGCCCGAGCCCGAGCCCGAGTCGTATTCCCGCTTGAGACAAGGAGCCATTTGTTATCTATCTCCAGCCGACATTGTAGTCGTTGTTGGTTTTGCTAATCGCCTGATCCTATTCGAAAACCTTTTGTCACTAAAGTCAAGCATGGGACACACGAAACAAACTGTACATAAAATCGTGGGGTCCCACGTCAGTTACGTTGAAACGAGCTGAAAACCGGAGGCACGTCCCGTCCGTTCTTGCCCTTTATTTTAATTTAAGTAATATTTGGTACCTCTCTCTAAAAAAATGAAGTAATTTATTTCTCGATTTCTATTCAGTGGCCTAATAGTTTTCCTTATTTATTCAACAACAGGAGGGCAGGGCACAGAGTCTGCCCACCATTTTTACAGAGTCTCTGAGAAAACAGGGGGAGGCCAAGGAAATAGAACAGGGATTCAATTCAAAGAGTGGAATGGAGCCCTCAATTTCAATCACCCCTTATTTAACACCACTTACCACAGAAGAGCCACCATAGTATATCTCCTCTTCCTCTTCTTCTAGCTATTGGTTTCTGTTTCATCTCAGTAAATATATTACAAGTGAGTTTTGCTTGAATATGAGGATAAGAAACCTGGTAGGCATCATCATCTTCTTTTTCATTTTCCTATTTTCTTTTTGTGTTAATCCCTGCAGTTCCGAACCTGTCGTGACTGTGGATGTACACCGTGCAAAGAATCTCCTTGCCTCCGGCTGGCGTTACTTGGATGTCAGGTACGCTCTCTGTCTCCCTCTCTAAAACTTCCCTGTTTCTCTTGACAAACTCTTGATGTGATTCACCTTTTATTTGTGGTATTCTTCGTGTCGATCGGAAACCGATTGCCGAGGACTTTATTTCTTGTTCTGTCTTCAATCATGTGTTCCACTGTGCTGGTTTTCACTCTTTTGTTTGGCATAATATGAAGTTTGAGTCTTCTTACTTATTTTGGAAAATTTTCTTCGGCTTTTATTTTTGTGGTTTTTTACAGTTTCTCTGTTTTTATGTAAATTTGCAGGACAAAGGAAGAGTTTAGTGAAGGACATTTGGAGAACTCTTTGAATGTTCCTTACTTATTCAATTCCCTACAAGGTGCACACACAAGCCAACCAAAACAATTAGTAAGAGGAAAACATGTCTCTTGCATCTTGATTTCCAAAACTAATGGGGGTGTTTGCTCAGGGAGAGAGAAGAATAAGCAGTTTGTGGAACAGGTAAAAGCACTATGCTGCAAGGATGATGACATAATTGTGGTTAGTACCATTAATCTCTCTCTTCCCCCCCCCCCCCCCCCCCACCCAAAAAAAAAACAAAAACATGTATTTCTCTTGATTTTTGATCATTTTCTTCTATATCTAACTGCATGACCGACTAAAATATACTAGAAATGAGGAAAAAGTTATACAAGGTAGCAACCTTATATTGTAGGACTAATGCACATCTCAAAAATCCAATTGGAAAGGTTGTTTTGACATCAAAGTACCCTACAATTAATCATCTGGACCTAGAGATATATGGATATGAAAAAAAGGATTTCAAGTCTTAAAAATAGTACATTTTATAACACATCTCTAGATGGTCCATTTTTTAAATTTTGAAGTGTTTATAGATCTACTTGATCTACATCATGTTTGGAGCTTTATATTTTATAATTAGATGCAAAAAATAGATTTTTAGTTCATCTTAAGAGTTTTTGACATGGAAAGTGTGTCTTTTAGGAAGATTTAGAGGTGTGCCTTACTGTGATTGTTTAAGGTTCACACTTATACACACCACACCCAAATGACAATTATGGAATGCTAGCACTGCCATTATTCAGATTTCCAAAGTCTTGAATCTTCAAAATTCTATTTTGTCAAACATATTCTTAAGCAATATGTTGTTATAATCCCAATTTTAGTGACTGGAACTACCATTTGTGCCTTATTTGGTGAAGGGATGCCGAAGTGGAGTCAGATCGCTTAGCGCTTCAGAGGATCTCATAAATGCTGTAAGCATAATCACAAAAAGGAGATTTAACACTAATGCTGATGACACTAAGTCCATTAATAACTAATTTACTTGCAATTTGTTAAATTTCAGGGGTTTAAGCATGTGAGGAATATGGGTGGGGGTTACCTGGCTTGGGTGGAGAATGGTTTTCAAGTGAAAAACAAATTCCACTCCGAACTCTAACCACATATGGGATTTGGAATCTAAAGATAGAGAAGTAGAAGATCAAATGCATATCATGCAAATTGCAACTTCTCTAGTATAAGATTACAATAGAAATACTCTTTTAGACTTTTTACTTATGCTCCGATTTCGCATATTTTTCTTGAACGCAACATGGTGGCAGATTGGTTAGCCAAAAATGTGGTCACACTATCAGAGGCTACAATGTTCGACCTCTAGATTATTTACTCGAGGGCTGAATAACGACTTTGATATGTAATTTCTTTTCTTATTAATGAAAAACGCGTAAGGGGCTCCAATCACCATTGATTTACCTAAAAAAAAAAGAATATAATAAAAATAATATATGTTAGTGCCTTGGGTGTAGGCCACACATTAATCATGGGCCACAAAAATTGTTATTGGACAGCCGGAATGATTTGGCTATGCTGAATGGACAGTTGAGATGAATTATGAAAGTCCTTGTCATTTCCGACAATTACTTTGTAGTGGGCATGAGGGCTCATTCCGATAAGGTGCTTCTTATTCCTCTTGTAGTTCATGTTTGGATGTTCCACAAAAGAAAGGAATGGTTGGTTGGAAGAGTAGGTTGGATCACATGTCATGCACAATTTGAGTTTAGGTGATTCAGCGCTCCACACAAATAACTAAAGGGTGCAGTTGGCATATGGATGCATCCGTAGGAGTAGAGGTAAGGTGCACTTTCAAATTCTATCATGGTTTATACTTGGTTAATACTTTTGATGTAAAATGTTGTTAGGATTAACTCAAAATCTATTTTTCATCTATTTATAAAATTGTACATTTCAAAAATGGTTAAAATCAAATAGATCCATAAACATATGGAAATCTTGAAAATGGACGGCGTAGATGATAGTTTTTCAACACTAAAACTACCTTTTCCGATGGATTTTTGATGTGCATTCGCAGTTCTACATTATAAGGTTGCATCCATATATAAACTTTTTCTATAACTAAAAGGAGATACATGCTTTGTTCTCTTGGCCCCATTATTCGGATGAGAAAATGTTTTGAAAAAGGAAAAGTGTTTGATGTGTTGGGGAACTTATTTTTACATTTACCTCCACCGAGGGATAAAACATCCATCTTAAAGATGTATGCTAATGTGTGGTCCCTCCAAAAAAAAGTTAAAACCAATGGTGTATACTTTTTTTTTCATAAAATTATCATTTTCAATTTAAAAATTTGTTTTGTTTTACATATTTATGATCTCTATCTTCGAGATTATATATCCCTTAAAAATTAGGACTAAAATCTATCTCAAAAATGAATTTTTAAGAGGGAACTCCTTTCTACATATGTGTCCAGGGACTCATAGAAACCATGTCCTTCGAAGAATGAGGCAAGAAAATTTTAAAAATGAAAACAAAGATTGCATTGCATCAAATTAGGCCTCGTAAATTCTTTTCGGCTTTCTATGGGTCACGCATTTTTCATGCCCTTATTTCTGAAAGGAAAATTGTTTCATGTAGGCTGGACCGCATTTCTACATATGCAGTCAAGAAAGTGTAAAGCATCCATCTTAAAGATGGATGCAAGTAGCTGTTCCATCTAAAAACAATGGAAACTAACGGTCCAAATGTTTTCTTACTAGAATTATTATTTCTAGTTTTTAAAATTTATTTATTTTTTCATATTCATGATCTCCATGTTAGGGATTACATGTCCTTACAATTTTAACCTTAAAATCCATCTCAAAAATAGATTTATTAAGAGGACTGCATTTCTACATATGCAGGCTTGACCGCATAGAAACCAAGTCCTTTATGAAAAGCAAATTCGCATAAGTGACTAAAGCAAAGCATTAAACCGCTAAAGACTAGGTCATCATAGCCAAAAGGATAATCTACAGGTGTACTACTTATCTCTTGGAGGGCATGGAATCCATGCAACCTGATGCTTCAAGGGTTTTCAAAATGATTTAAATTGAAATTGGGACTATTCGAGAGCTATAATTCTATTTTGTTTTTTATTTTTATTTTTTTAAGGTTTCTACGAGAAAATTGGGGTGTCCATACATCTTTATATGCCTACTCAATAAAAATAAGAAAAATATTTCAAATAAAATAAATTAACCGAAACATTCTTGAATATTTCACTAGTATTTATGCCAAATTTTTTTTTGGCTATTGTTATTTTTAATGAGTGTGCCTTGTAAAAATGAATGTATGCCCCAATTTAATGTGAATTGAATTTGTAAAATAAGCAAAACAAAAAATAAAATTAGCTTGTGGCCTCAGATCAGCCTAGATTAAATATATATAGTGAAACCTCCACATGTTGGATTAGAGACGGTTGTCCTACTATGAGAACTATTCTCCCAACAATGAAGAAATTGCTTATTTAGGAGGTGCTGACTGTGGTGGAGTAAAGAGGACGAAATGCTCAGCGGAAAGAGCTCCGAGGTTCAGTCTGCTCCACGTAACAACGAGCAAAGCAAGTGGTACCAGCGAGTTCCTTTTGTGTACAATAGAGCAAGCGATGAGCAAGTCAATGGTAGCAGCCCCCAAGGAGCGGGCGTTGTGATGCATAGGCCGCAGATCCAAACGCTCCAAGGCTTAATTTTTTACCTGATGTTTTGCCTCGGATTCATATTGGTATTTCCCGATTTGCTAAACGCTCCAAGGCTTAATTTTTTACCTGATGTTTTGCCTATGATTCATATTGGTATTTCCCGATTTGCTAACCATAGTCGCACAAATACGTTATATAATAAATTGAAGATCTCTTATTGTATAAAAGGAATTCTTTTAGAATAGTATCTTTAAAATCTGTAGTATGGGCGTCTCCTATTAGGCGTTTCCTATGTACTGTTATCAAGTCACATAGCTTTTGGCTTGCACCATTTGATAGCATGTGCACATTTCGACATATAGTGCATGTGTTCATATTTTGACATATGGTGACACTTTGAAAAATTAAATGAGTCACTTAGGAGTCCTCGAGTCTTGACCATCATGGACTCGACCCCAAAGTTTAAGCACTACTCTCACCACTTGTTAGGCAACATCAAATGAGGAACTATATTATATTTTAGAGAAAACATTATTCAAAAGAAGCAATGACACAAATGTGTCTAGCCATAAGCCAACATACTACACCTACGTCGCCGTCCATGTAACATTGCTCCTATTTCATTTGCTGGATGCTTAAATGATGTTGGTACTTCTGTAACTTTTAGGAGCTTTGTTTGGTATACCTAAGCTCTGCCATCTCTGGAAATTTTTTTTTCATGTTCATCTGGTTTTACTTCAGGTTTAAAGTAAGTTTTGTGCCATGCGAAAATTTTATCAGCAATCATCAATCTGCCGCTTCAATTTGAACTTTTTTCACTTCTGCATGGTATTTATTGCCAAATCATGTGTCAAAAAGTTTAATATGGTATCAATACTCTTTTTTAACCCTTCCAACATGTATTGAGAGGTTCAGTTATTTATTTATTTATCCTCAGCTGTTCATTCATTTTAAAGAATCAAAGAGAGAAGAGGGCACCCAATTTGAAATGCATGGGTAACAGCACAAACTAAGTTTCCGAGCCACAGTGTTGCTAATACAAATTACTCTTCCATACTTGGGTTTTGGATGGGTTCAAGAAGGAATCAGTAACAAATTAACTGCTTGAATTTCTTTCTTAATTTCAAGAAAACTGAAAAATATCTATGGCCAAAAGCATAAAAAGACATGCATATATATATATATATATATGCTGAACATCCAAGAGTGCCACAGTTTCAAAAATTGGAGGAAATTGTCCATGTCCAGACCAACCAAAACAGCACAATGTACTGTAAGCAACATGATAATGTATCAAAACCCATATGGGAGATTCAGCACCATCTCCATAAATTTACAGAAAATTGGGTTCATCTTTGTTTTGGTTATCCAAGATTGGAGATCCAAACAAGAACCAACATCAAGACAACTAGCTCAATAATGGAAGATGAAGCCTCTCTCGAGTCCCATTTTTGTTGTTAGAGTTAGTTGAACTTTTATGTATTTCATCCTTGTGTCCAAACAAGGCTTTCCCGCCATCCTTCTCTCACTTTTTACTTCTATTGTGTAGACACCCCCCTCTAAATTCTCGCTAAGCGGTTGATCTCTCTTTGAGATCGGCGCAAATCAGAACGTAGCATATTGATACGTAATTCCCGGAATGTAGTAATCACAGTGGTTTTCAGTATGCAGATAAAAATTGTCTTCTAAACATGTCCTATTGTTCGGAGAATATGTAACTCATCTCCTTCCTCCTCTCCATAACTGTCATAAAGATGAGGCTCAGAAAAAACTGAAGATTGAGACAATGTATCACCTGGATGGTGATTGAAAATACCATCCTCTCTCATGGAGGCATATTGTACTCGCATGCTTAAATTCTCATCCAACGAAATCGGGTCGATCCCATCTTCCCCATCTGCCATTGAATCCAGAGATGTTGTTGATGTTGCACTTCTAAGGTTGGCATGCAAAGAGCCATGTTTCGACCTTTCCTTAACTCTCTTACACCAACCGTGAAGTGATTCTCTAACGTCCTCTGCGATCAATGCCTTCTTGAACCGAGACCCCATCTGAGGCACAAAAACAAATACCTCAGTGCAAAGGAGACGCTCAAAATTAGTTGTGTATTTTTTTGCAAATGGCCACAATGTTCTGATATGGGTAGTGCTCTACAAACTGCTCAATAGATGATCTCCGTTTTTCTACTGACAAAAGGGTCTCTAATTGACCCTTAATTTCTTAATGTCATTAGTTGATGATTATGAGGGTTAAGGGTGGACTCTTTCTTCATGGGATTCGTAAATGTGTATTAAATGAATATGGTTGGGGATCAAATGAATATGGTTGAAGGAACCTTTGGTTTTGTAGACTACCATGTGCACAAGAGCCTGATTTACAACCTAAATGCTAAATGCCACCAAGAATTAGATAAAAACCTGCAGATTCAGAAGGTTTTGAGAATGAAAAAGAACTCTCCAGAGAATCCAAAAAGCACATCCTTTCTCTTCAGAAACCACAGCTAGCCACCTTACCTAATGAAATCAATGCAAGAGAAGAACATCCAAGAGAACTTAATTCAGCAGTGTCACCCTAGCACTTAGTTTTGCTCATCTTTCAGAGCTGAACATATTCCTACATTTCAATGATTTCGACACCTCAAATATATAACTCCAGATTTGATTTTAGATAATTTTTTGTGTTATTAATGCTAAAATAATGTGATATATATATATGGGTGTAGTTTATCTAGAGCCGAGGCTCCAAACAATCAAAGTAAATGCACCTTCAAATAGTGTTGAGAAATGTGGTTTCAATATTGGAAATCTTTGTGATAGCCATAAAATATATTTTTATTTTTAATTATAAAATTTAAAACTTCAAAAATAGTATAGATCGAGCAGATCTTTGAAAGCTTGAAAATTGACATTCTAAACATGTTACAAGAAGTACTATTTCCAAAACTTGAAATCCATTTTTTTCTCATGTCCATGCATCTTGATGTCAAGATGATCAATTTGGGAACATTTGGGCATCAAACGACCTCTTTTAGTGGAGTGTTTTGAGGTAGGCTCTAACTTGATTGTTTAGAGCCTCAGCTTTATATAAATTTTTCCATATATATATATGGAAAAGTCTTCCCAACGATTACAGGTGGAAATGAATAGTGATTTCGCCTACCCTCATCACCATCCAAAGATCATCACACGGTCACAATTGTCCGGTAGTGTTTCATATTTCATTTGTTTTTTCTACAAATCGAAATGATCTGAAATTTGAAGCGTGTGTACATCTTAGTGAGAAGCACCTAATAAAAATATAAAAAAAATAATTCGAGAAAAAAAAATTGACCAAAATACCCCTGAAACTTTTCGGAGGTATTTTGGTCAATTTATTTCATGTAAAATAATTTTTTTGATATTTTTCGTAGATTCGCCTATTTTTGCTAAACATATGCTCTAAATTCCAGATCATTCCGATTTGTAGAAAACACATGAAAAATAAAACATTACCGGACAATCGTGACTGTGCGATGAACTTTGGATGGTGAAGAGGGTAGGCGAAATCATTGTTCATTTTCGCTTATAGGAGTTTTGTACTATCTTCATATATATATGGAAAAGTCTTCCCAACGTCTATAAGAGAAAATGAACAATGATTTTCCCTACCCTCATCACCGTCCAAAGTTCATCGCACGGTCATGATTGTTCGATAGTGTTTCATTTTTTAGTTTCTTTCTGCAAATCAGAATGATCTGAAATTTGGAACGTGTATACATCTTAGTGAGGCGCACCTAATAAAAATATACAAAAAAATAATTCGTAAAAGAATTGATCAAAATACCCCCTAAATATTTTGGGGGTATTTTGGTTAATTTTTTTCATGTAAAATATTTTTTTGATATTTTCGTAGATTCGCCTATTTTTTATGAACACACCCTCCAAATTTCAAGTCATTCCAATTTGTAGAAAAAAAATGAAATACTACTGGACAATCGTGACCTTATATATATATATATATATGGGTGCGGTTTGTATAGCGCCTAGGCTCTAAACAATCAAATTAGAGCCTACTTTCAAATAGTATCGAGAAATGTAGTTTCAATACTGGAAATCTTTGTGATAGCCTTAAAATATATTTTAATCTTTATTTATAAGATTTAAAGCTTCAAAAATAGTGTAGATCGACATATCTATGAAAACTTCAAAATCTTGAAAATTGACGGTCTAAAAATGCGTTACAAAATACATTATTTCTCAAACTTGAAATCCATTTTTTTCTCATGCCCATGCATCTTGATGTCAAGATGATCAATTTGAGGATATTTGGGTATAAAAACAACATCTTCTAGTAATT